CGCATGCAGAGCAGGCCCAACTGTAGTATCGGAGAAACCGAGGCCATGAGGTCTAGCATCCTCTGAAACACCTTGAGGGGACGAAAGACTCCAACTCTGAATGAGGCCGCGAGCTGCTGAATGGCCAGCGCACATTCTGGCGCGGCTACCACTAATATTTGGGGTGAATCTAAAACTGTTCCCAGGAACGATATCCGTTGGCTGGGGGACAGCGCGCTCTTGGCAAAATTGACCCTGAGTCCCAGGCATTCTAAGTGGCTGAGGGTCTTTCAGGTACATTGATCCGTTTCAATATAATCATCATGAACGGCCGTCTCATGAGGGCGTGATTCAGATACCGGAGAACGAGAATGGGCCTTAGGCCGCCATCCTTCTTGGGGACGAAGAAGTAACGGCTGTAGAAGCCTGACTCGCTCTCGGCTGGGGGGACCATTTCTACGGCTCCTTTTGCCGAAGTGCATAGGACGTGTGCATCCTCGCTCTGAACCGAGGTGGAGTCCACGGCGCTGAAACGCTAGGGTCTTCGAGCGAATTGGAGTGTATAACCTCGTTTTATTATCCCCATGACCCAGCTTGACACTCCGGGGATGGCCTGCCAGGCCTCAGCCCGCGCGACAAGGGGCTGGATTGGTTCGAGCGGTGGGACGCTTAGGGGTTACCCGACGCGTGCAATGAGTGGAAAAGGAAATTTGCTCTCTTTTTGAAAATGTTTGTGTTTTATTTTTCCCGCTATAACAGCGGTTGGTTGTGTGGACGCGATTAGAATGGGCCCCATGTTCACAACAGTGTTTTTGGTCACAAACACACTGCCATCGGCACCCGGAACTGAAAGGGGTGCTTGGAGGCATAACAGAGGCGTTTTGGGGGGTGGTCTGGCTGCAGCGAGACTGGGCCCCCTCCTCTTTCTGTCCCGCAGATCAGGATGACGCCTGAGGCGCAGGGTCCAACACTATCTTGGGTCGGGGGCCCTGGCGTTTAGGAAACTGGCGTCTGGCCGAGCGGGAGCGCTGGCGAGGCTCGGGCCAAGGAGCTGTGGGAGCAATTGGTGGCACGGGCTTCACGGGGTGCTGAGTCGGCACATTTTTGGGGCGACTAGAAGCAGCCGTTGAGCTGGAGCGCTTTGGCAGGAAGTGTCACATTGCTTGGGGTGACTTCTGTGCAGCGGTAAAGTGTTCCGCGAAGCCTTCAACTGCAGGTCCAAACAGGCCAGTAGGGGAAACCGGGGAGTCGAGGAAGGGGACCGTATCCGCATCCTTTATCTCCGTGAGGTTTAGCCATAGATGGCGCTCCAGCACCACTAGGCTGGCCATGGATCTGCCAATCGCCTGCGCTGTCATCTTGGTGGCGCGTAGAGCCAGGTCGGTCGCACTGTGCAGCTCCTTAAAAGCCGCGGGGTCTGGCTGAGGCACGAAGGCCAAGACCTGGTGATCTCGTCGTGGACCTCCGGAAAGAATGGTGAAACTCGTTGTCAGGGGGCCTGACTGCGCCCCGGCAAGAACCACTCATCCAGGCGGCTGCGGATGGGCTCCTCCGGCGGAGAGCACTCCAGACCCAGCTCCTCCACAGCTTTAGACAGGACGCGGAAAAGCTCGGCGTCCATGCCCTTGCTCGCTGTGCTGGGTTGTGCAGATGGCAAGGGGGCGGGGTCGACGTACGAGTCCGACAGCTCCTCCTCATCTGAAGCCTCCAACGACATGCTGTCGTCAATGGCGTCACACTCGCTTCCTCCAAATGAGACGAGATCGCTCACAGCCGCAGAGCGACGCTGGTCTGGGAGGGAGAAGTGAACTGGAGAAACCTCTCTGAGCGGAGAGAGTGAGGCACGTGGGGGCTCAGCTGGCGTGGGCTCACTCGTCACCGAGCGCCGAGTTCCTCTGCCCCGCTGCTTTTATCGTAGAGCGAAGATCTAGTAGTCTTGGCTGAAGGAGAATAATCTGAGGATCCTATGGCGATGTGCCGCTTATATAGCCAGATGACCCCGCCCATTCTGGCAGGCTTTACCGCCATAGGCTCGTGCAGCTCTGCTCTGCATTGGTTCGTTTTTTTATTCACTGCACGAACCAATGGCCGTGCAGTTACACTGCATTATTGAAAGTTATCGGAGAAAAAGGAGTTTTCCCCAAGCGTCTTAAACAGACGCAGTACGAGTGAAGTATCGATAGGGAACACTTTTCTCTCACTTCCGCTGACTGTCATACACTGAAGCAGTTCCGGCGGATGACATATGACGTCGGCGTTGCGTGATTAGTGACGAATGCGGAGAAAGAACAAAACAAAACGCCGGTCATGAATTAGAAGTACAAACCGAGGATTTGCAAAGAAAAATGTCGGAGGATTTAAACAGCGGTCACTAATTAGAAGTACAAAACGAGGATTTGTAAAGAAGAATGTCAGAGGATTTCTATACAAGCCAAGAGGAGACTGGTTTTCCTTTGCTAAAGTAAGGAAACTTTGCCTCCTTTGCTCCTATAAACAAACTCGCGAGACTAGCGTATCTCAGAGGCGCGCGCATCAAACAGATATGTGCTGCATCATCCACCGGAACGGCTTCCGCGTATGACAGCTAACGGAAGTGAGAGAAAAGTGTTTTTTACAAAAACGCATGCATTCACTACAGGAGGCCTTTATTCACCCTCCGGAGCAGTGTGAGGCACATTTTATTATGAATGCACGCGCTTTATTTGACGACTTGTGGACTATTCAACTGCAACACCCGCTGACTGCAATGATAGAGCTTGGAATAGCCAGGACAATTTTTAATATAACTCCGACTGGATTCGTCTGAAAGGAGAAAGTTATATACACCTAGGATGCCTCGAGGGTGAGTAAAACACAGTCTAATTTTCATTTTTGGGTGAACTAACCCTTTAACTTGCTAATCATGCTAACAACATGCTAGTAACTTGCTAAACATGCTAGAATCATGCTAACAACATGCTAGTAACTTGCTAATTATGCTAGAAACATGCTAGCAACTTGCTAAACATGTTAGAAACATGCTAGCATCATGCTAGTAACATGCTAATCATGCTAACAACAGCCTAGTAACTACGGCTGGGATTTGACACAAATTTCACGATTCGATTCTCATTCACAAGCTTGCGATTCAATTCGATTACCAATTCGATTCGATTCGACACTGATTATTTTGGATATATATCAGGTACAGTACATGCCAAACTTTCTCAAGGAAAAAAAAAACAATCAACTAATGCTGTAAAATATACATGAGAGTCAGTTGGTACTACATTACTATAATATTGAAGGTTAAAATTAACTGATGTGTTAAAATTTCACTTAATGAAGTTTTTAAAATAATAAAGTTACAATTACATAATATTTCTACTTCAATTTGTTTTTTTGTTTTTAATATAAACATAATGGTGGCTGTCTTGATGGATTTATTTAAACACAAATTAAACATTGAAGAACAGTAAAATTTATAATCAATGTGTTATATGGTGCATATATTTAGCAAAATGCCCCTCTCTACAGTTTATTTTTCTATCTGACTAATGAGTTTATGGTCACTGAATATGTTTTTCTTAGGTAAATGTGACGTTACGTGACAAGATGTTATATTGACGTCTTTGCGCGGCTGAAACACTGATTGAGCAATTACATGAGAAATGATACGGATTGTAAAGTTGTACTCTTTCCTTTAACTTACCTTCGGATGTTTAGTCATGATTGTTTTGTGCTGAAACTGGTATTAATGTGGAGGAGATGATCAGCTCACGTGCGCCATGCACTGCCGCGTCTGTTGATCTGAGGCGCTACAGCGATCTGTCACTCCACATTAAACAGCGCCAAAACGGCATTTATTGTTTGAATACTGCAATACAATGGACAGAATTTGAAATCTGAGACTTTGTTTCATATTAAAAGTACCAAAGCACAATGCTTTTTGCGATATATTGGATGGGACGTTCCGTTAAAGGCAACATTCCGTCCATTAACTGAAAACAGCCTAGACTAAATCGATTCTTGGGATTTAAGAATCAATATCGTTCCGTAAAAATGAGAATCGATTAATATCGAAATATCGATACTTTTTACCCAGCCCTACTACTAACATGCTAATCATGCTAGAAACTTGCTAATCATTCTAACAAAATGTTAACACCATGCTAGTAACATGATAGTAATGCTAACAACATGCTAGTAACATGCTAATCATGTTAGAAACATACAAGTAACTTGCTAATCATGCTAACAAAATGTTAACACCATGCTAGTAACATGTTAATCATGCTAGAATCATGCTAGCAACATGTTAGTAACTTGCTAATTATGGTAACAGCATGATAGTAACATGCTAATCATGCTAGAAACATGTTAGTAACTTGTTAACCATGCTAACAAAATGTTAACACCATGCTAGTAACATGCTAATCATGCTAGCAACAGGTTAGTATCTTGCTAATTATGTTAACACCATGATAGTAACATGCTAATCATGCTAATAACATGTTAGTAACATGCTAATCATGTTAGAAAAATGCTAGTAACTTGTTAATCATGCTATCAAAATGTTAACACCATACTAATAACATGCTAATCATGCTAGCAACATGTTAGTATCTTGCTAATTATGTTAACAACATGCTAGTAACATGATAATCATGCTAGTAGCATGCTAATTGTGCTAAAACATGTTAGCAACATGCTAGTCATGCTAGAAACAGCCTAGCAACCACCCCAGGTACCCTAGCAATATGTTTTATACCTATCTATTTTTTTCTGATAGACTGTATTGCCTTGAATAAATTCAAACTTTAATCTTTAAAACTATTTTAACTTTCAAACTACTTCAAACTGAAAACATTCAGACTGTAAGCTTTTCAAACTTTTTCAAACTTTCCAGCTAGGCTTTTTCAAGCCAACATAAAGTTTGTCTACAAACTTTTCAATCTAGTTTTTAATGCAGTTTCTTAATGCTATTTCTCATTTCCTTCTAAGAATTTTCTAAACCACATAGCATGCAAAAGAAGTCTTGCCTGTAAGCTTGCTGAAGAACCATTTGCAGCGGCCACTGTTTCGCACTAGTAGTGTGTACGCTGCTGCCCCCTCATCAAACTCTAGGTGGATACTCTGAGAGCCCAGTCCCACCTCCATATAGCTGAGTTCACACAACCGATGGCTTTCTCTTTTCTGCAGCCAGTCTGAGGGTTGCCCTCTGCAACAGAAATGAGAGACAGTGTAAGAAAATGTAAGAAATATGAAAAGAAAGGTAAGAGATATGGAAAGTGATACGCTTGTAAACCATTAGTAAAGCTAGTAAGTGAATATACTACCCATTTCAATTGTTTCTGTTAAAAACATTCAATTCAGGATTTGTGTATATTGAATTAGATGATTCCCTTTGTCCATGATTTGAAAGATAAGATCATTTAATGGAGATGGCTTAAAGCTATAATCCCTTATGATTAACCCTTATCTAGATTTGTTAAGCCAGTAACACATTGGACAAAAAGCTCCATGCAGAGTCATGTTGAGGGTGTGACAACGCACACGCAGTATTGAACGCCAGACATCATTCTATACTTGCTTTTAAAACTGAATCTATTACCATGCAGGCAAAAGTTCACTTCAAGAATGAACAAGTTGGTAAGTATGACATTTGCTGTATAAAAAAACAGCAGTGCAAATTGTAAGATTACAAGGGTGATGTACTCTATATTATGGAATTTCCCTATAAGTAGCATATACGTTATTCACTTAATATTCAGCAATATTATTGAATTGTTGACTGTACAGACAACAATATTATTGACTGTACAGACACTATTGGATAACTGAACAGAACTGGATGACATCACTGTTTTCTACAGGGCTGCTTAACCGCTGTATTGAACTACTTTTATAATTGATGATCTTTACAGTTATTGAATGGATCTAATCAACACTGAACTGACCTTAGCTGAACAATGACACTATTGTTTTTTTTTTTAGAGAGAACTGACTTCTGAACAATCATTAAACCATTATTTTCCTGTTTATTCCTGTAAAGCTGCTTCCAAAAAATCTGTATTGCATTATGTGCTATACAAATAAAGGTGACCTGACTTGATGTTAAGCTGTCAAATCACAAAACTTGGAAAAAAAGAAAAAAAAGTGTCTATACAAATGTACCTAACCTAGTGTGAAGTCTGTATGTACATTAACAAGACTTTGGGACAAATACATTTAAAGAAATTTTTAAAGAGACTATGCGTGTGGTGTGGAAGGATTTTGAGCAGCCTCAGAAGTCGTAGTTGGGTGAGTGGCGCAGTACATGCAAATTCATAGAAAATGACACTTTGTGTCATCCACCAGATGTGTGCGACCTCCTTTAAAGTTTTATGTAGGTTATACAACAGTTCACCCAAAAATAAACATTTGCTGAAAATTTACTCAATAGGCCATCAAAGATGTAGATGAGTTTGTTTCTTCATCAGAACAGATTTGGAGAAATTTACATTGCTTGCTCCTTACATCACCTCTGCAGTGAATAGGTGCTGTTAGAATGGCAGTTGCGTTTTTCTAAGAAACAAATGAATCATTAAGGTGTTTTAACTTAAAACCATTACTTCTGGCCAAAATACCAGACCTTAATTCATAATAACGCTTCCTCAAGTGAAAAAGTCCATCCTCTATTGTCCGCTCACATCAAAATCCACCAACAAATTTGGTTAGAACTGTTTCTTGCTTGTAAATTATGCTTGATATGGGCATATTTCTCTCCTGATGCAGAAGAAACTGCAAGTGACTTCTTCATTAAAGAAAGTAATATTATGGATAGAGAACAATTTTAGCTGGAAGCAACAGTCTGAGGTAAAAAATGTCTTTATGATGAATTAGTTTATTACAGTTACACAGCTTATCACTTTACAAGAGGTTAATTGGTGGACTGTAGTCATGTCGATTACTTGTGGAGTATTATGATGCTTGCAATGCTGGAGGATGGCACTACTGTCTTCTGTAGGGATGCAAACTCATCATGATTGAAAAAGGTGACAAAGGACGTGCAGTAAAATTCACTTTAAAGACTTATAATTCATTCATGAAGATGACATGAACATTTTTTTATCCATGTGGAAAACAAAGACTTGTAAGATGAAAATGACATGCAATTGCCATTATAACCAGTAGATGGCAGCAGAGGATCACTCATTAGCTCAGTTGCCATTTCCACTTTTTTTTATTAAAAAATGACAATGAAGTATAGCAAGTGCAGGAAGTCACAAAGTCCAAAGTCTCATGTCATTTAAATAAATAAATAAATAAATAAACAAATAAGCTCACACACCAACAGCCTAGAAGGGTTAATTACACTGAACAAAATTATAAACGCAACACTTTTGTTTTTGCCCCCATTTTTCATGAGCTGAAAAATAAATTGTGCAGTTTTACTGTATTGAGGGGTCCGGGGGCGTCCGAAAACCAGTCAGTATCTGGTGTGACCACCATTTGCCTCACGCAGTGCAACACATCTCCTTCGCATAGAGTTGATCAGGTTGTTGATTGACAAAAGTGTTGCGTTTATAATTTTGTTCAGTGTATTTAAATACTTAAATAGTTAACAACAAATTAAGTTAATTTTTAATGGTATAATAATTAAATAATGCACTAAATATTTTGACTTTTTTTTAGATTTAATTTAAAAACTACATTTTCAAACACTGCCTAAAAGGGAGTGCTTTGAAAAGAGTGCTTTAAGTTTTATCTTTGTAGAACCTAATATATAACTGTAGAAGCTGCTAAATATAATCAGCCAACACAGGCTTGTTGCTGCTGTAGGCTCACTGGCGGCAGTGGGCTTCACCCCGAAAAGGCCATGAGCTATATTCCGGCAAGTCCTGAGCACGCGTGCTGATAGGTCCGCGCAATGCGCGCAGTCGGACTCGTCCAACGCCGCCTTAGCGTGGGCCAAGCCCAGGCAGGCAACGCAGTGATCGTGTTTGTCTGGCGGATCAATGGATCCCACGCAGATACTGCAGTAATATGTCATCTTCGCTCTCGAAGCATAAGCCAATGTGAAGGCGAAGATTCTGATGTAATTGTCGCATGCACCGCATTTATACAGCCTCTCGAGCTCGTCAGTATTTGCATGCGATTTGGATACTTCGCGACAATTAGCCAGTCAATTGGACTGGCATGAGCCAATAGAACTTCAGGAAATGTGGAAGGAGAGGTGTTGCCAAAGCGGATGCTCCGCTATGTTAAACGTAGAGGGGATCGTGCTTTTTCAGTGGTTGGGCCGCGGCTGTGGAATAGCCTCCCTTTAGAGATTAGACTTGCCCCTTCTCTGTCCACTTTTAAATCTCTTCTAAAAACATATCTGTTTTGTTTGGCTTACAAATAATTTTCTATTATGGTCTTTGCTTAGTCTTTTATGGGTTTATACTTTGTTTCTCTTGTGTTATTAATATATTTACTTATTTTATTATTAAGGCGAGACCCTGTTTAATTGTGAAGCTATGCAGATTTTTATATTCTTTTTACTATTTTGAATTTCTGTACAGCACTTTGGTCAGCCGTGTGGCTGTTTTATACGTGCTATATAAATAAACTGAAACTTGAAAAACTTAAAACTTATGTTGAGAGACAGCTCAAAAGGGAACTTTCTTTTTCTTTTGTTATAATGGGAAGATCTGTGAGCATGTAGAACTTGCGAAAACAAACATTAGTTCAGAGCGGATTCTGACTACCTCTGATTGGCCATTGCTTTCAACAGAGATGCTTGTGATTGGCTCCAATACTCAACGCTGCAAAGCCATGTTGTAAATAGAAACTTTTGGTTTTGTAATTCAAAACCAGACCGCGCACACAGGTTGTGGCCATTGTGAGAGGGGTCTGTGATGATGTTACCTGCCCGTTTCTTCACTCTGGAGTTGTACAAGTCCTGAAGGTTGGGCAGGTGCACACCACTTATCCTTTCAGCAGTCCTAACAGTCTGTTGCAGTCTTCTTATATCTGATTTGCTGGCTGACCCAAACCAGACAGTTATAGAAGAGCACAGAACCAACTCAATAACAGCTGAGTAAAACTGTGTCATCTGCGCCTGTGGAAGGCTGAACTTTTTCAGTTGACAAAGAAAGTACAACTTCTGCTCTACCTTTTTCACAAAGGAGTTAATGTGAATGTCCCACTTCGGGTCCTGTGAGATGGTGGTGCCCAGGAATCTGAATGAATCCACTGTTGCCACAGTGCTGTTCATGATGGTGAGTGGAGGGAGTGCAGTTTTTTTTCTCCCTAAAGTCCACAATCATCTCCACAGTTTTGAGCATGTTCAGCTCCAGGTTGTTAAGACTGCACCAGACAGCCAACTTCAGGAGTTTGACAGAGGGATCTTTAGAGTTGCACTCATTAGTGTAGAGGGAGAAGAGCAGTGGGGAGAGCACACACCCCTGAGGAGCTCCAGTGCTGATGGTGTGGGTGTTGGATTTGAGTTTTCCCAGCCTCACTAGCTGCTGCCTGCCTGTCAGGAAGCTCATGATCCACTGACAGATGGAGGTGGGTACAGAGAGCTGTGTCAGTTTAATCAGGAGGGTATCCGGGATGATGGTGTTAAAAGCAGAGTTGAAGTCAACAAACAGGATCCTTACATAAATCCCTGGTTTGTCCAGATATTGGAGGATGTAGTGCAGTCCCATGTTGACAGCATCATCCACAGACCTGTTTGCTCGGTAAGCAAACTGAAGGGGGTCCAGCAAGGGTCACATAATGTCCTTTAAGTAGGCCAACACCAGTCTCTCAAATTACTTCATGACCACAGATGTTAAAGCAACAGGTCTGTAGTCATTTTGTCCAATGACCTTTGGTTTCTTGGGTACAGGGATGATTGTGGAGCGTTTGAAGTTGGAGGGGACTTCACACAGCTCCAGCAATCTGTTGAAGATCAGTGTGAAGATGGATGACAGCTGGACAGCACAGGCTTTGAGGTAGTCTGGAGAGACACCGTCTGGGCCTTTGGCTTTCCTAATATTTTTTTCTGAAGACTATGCATACATCATCTTCCCAGATCAAGTGTAGGCTGAGAAGTAGTAGGGGGAGGGTGTTGATGGCTGTGTTGTGAGACAGTCAGAGTAGGTGTGGGGTGTGAGACCAGGCTTTTCAAACCTGCAGTAAAACTCATTCAAACCGTCGGCTAAAAGTTGATTCTCCACAGTGCTGGGGGATGGGGTCTTGTAGCTGGTGATGGTTTTCAGGCCCTACCACACTAATGTAAGGTCATTGCTTGAAAACTGTTTTTTTCAGCTTTTCAAAGTAGCTACTCGTATCTCTCAATTCAGTGTGTATTTGGCCTGTTTGTTTAAGGCTTTGTCCCCACTCCTGTAGGCATCCTCTTTGGCCTGGCGAAGCTGTTTGAGTTTTGCACTGAACCAAGGTTTGTTGTTGTTAAATGTTAAATAAGTTTCTGCTTGTAGGCTGAAAGAAGATGAACCAAACAGTGATCAGAGAGTCCCAGAGCTGCTCGGGGTACAGAGTGGTATGCATTCTTTAAAACTGTGTAGCAATGATCCAGTATATTGCTGTCCCTGGTAGGACATGTGATGTGCTGTCTGTATTTTGGCAGGTCGCGGGTGAGAGTAGCTGTATTAAAATCTCCAAGAATGATAATGAAAGAGTCCAGGTAATGCTGCTCTGTGTGTGTGATCTGATCAGCCAGCCATTCTAGTGCAGCGCTACGTCACGTCAGGGGGAATGTATGCACTCACCAGAATAAATGAGGAAAACTCCCACGGTGAATAAAAAGGTCATTATTATTATCATTCATTATATTATAACAATGTTATTAATGCTTAATAACACATTTTAGTGTGTTATTTACTTACAGTTAAATAAAGAAAGCTTCCAAATTTGGACAGCACATTCTTTACACTGTCACATCTGCACACCAGCCTTCGTTGATATAAAAACATAATCCACCGCCTCTTGTTTTCCAAGACGACTCGGGGACGTGATCCGCTCTGAACAGCTGGAAGCCGTTAGATGAAGCTCGCTGTCCGGGATGGCTCCGTTAAACCAGGTTTCCATGAAAAAAAGCGCAGCAGAGTTTAAAAAGCCCTTGTTTGTGCGGGGGAAGAGTAATAGTTTGTCTGTTTTATCTGCTAGGAAGTGGAGATTCACCAGATGAATGAGCGGCAGCAGAGTCCTAAAACTGCGCTCTCAGAATTTCATGAGCGCAGCAGCATGATTCCCTCATTTGCGTCACTTGGAGCGCTTGTAAAGGATTGCAGTTCCTCCAACTAGAATGTCCAGTAAAATGTCTGAATGCTCAAAAGTCGGCAAAAAGTTACTTGGTGTGCTATTTCTGATTGGTGTGCTATTTCTGATGTCTAGGAATTCGTCCCTAGTAAAGCTGATCGGAAAAAAGTTACTTAAAACAGGACAAACAAACAAAAATAGTTAAAGTACCAAGGAGCTACAAACCGAGGCAGCCATGCGCGGCACCATCTTGTTCGAAATTTACTACGTGTTGCTTTGCTGGCCATAAATGCAGGGAATCCATGATAAATCCTAAGTACGCAAACTAAAAGTCAGTTGATGTTAACAAGTTAACAAATTGATGGTATTATTTAGATCACAGAATGTCGTTGTCTGCTTTGCGAAGTTTGGAATTACTTTGATCAAAATGGTCTTACTAAATGATCTTACAAAATGGAATTACTTTTGATCAAATAAATCAGTGAAACGGAGTTGTTGTAATATCACCACCACAATGAGAAGTCACATGAAATCCAAACACCAGTCGACTGAGGAAAGACAGCTGTTCATCACTGTATTCACAACTGCAGTTAATCACAGCTGTATCCTGAGTGAGCTGAGAAGAGAGCTTATCTGATAGCGAAATTATCTTGAGACATAATGCTTCCTTTAAGTTTCCTCGAGGGAGAGTGGTTTAAGAACAGAAAACACAAAGCGCTGTAAGAAACTTTGCTTAGCACACCATTATCTTTGTTTATTATCAAACTGAGGCGCCAACTTTCACCCGAGCATGTGGATATTATTGTTTTTCTCAGCAATAACACGTGAAACAATATAAACACAATAAACATAGGCTGACTTGACTGTATGTACATTCTGTACTGTAATTGGCATGGTATGCTTTATTTTTTTCTGTTTGCTCTGCTTGAGCTTGAATGCTTTTGTTCTTATACAGTGGTGTGAAAAAGTGTTGGCCCCCTTCCTGATTTCTTATTTTTTTGCATGTTTGTCACACTTTAATGTTTCAGATCATCAAACAAATTTAAATATTAGTAAAAGATAACACAAACTTAACTACACAACATGCAGTTTTTAAATGAAGGTTTTTATTATTAAGGGAAAACAAAATCCAAAACTACATGGCCCTGTGTGAAAAAGTGTTTGCCGCCTAAACCTAATAACTGGTTGGGCCACCCTTAGCAGCAACAACTGCAATCAAGCGTTTGCTTTACAATTTAAGATATTTTGGATGAAAACCGGGAGGCTTGTGACTGTCCCATTGACTGCCTAGTAAATTACACTGTCAAGGTCCAGAGAAGTATGAAAGACATCATCAGAATAGTCCATCTGCCATCAGTAGTTCAACTGTAACGTTATGAAGAGACGAGAATACTTTTTGTAATTTAATAATAATAATTAATAATTAATTAATAAGAAGAATAAGAATACTTTTTGTACACGAAGAAAACAAAAATAACGACTTTATTCAACAATTAGTCTCCTCTGTGTCACTCTGCATCACAGTAGTGCCATTTTGGAGAATATCCGCTGGATGCAACCAGCGTACGCTCTTCTGTGTCAGCCGCGCTACACGGATGCTCTGTTTTTGTTCAAATCAAAGCGTAAATACATGTAGAAAATGTATCCTTGCGTCGCGGCTGACACAGAATAGCATACTCAGTTTGCGTTCAGCGGATATTCTCCAAAATGGCGCTACGGTGATGCAGAGAGACACAGAGGAGACAAATTGTTGAATAAAGTCGTTATTTTTGTTTTCTTCGTGTACAAAAAGTATTCTCGTCTCTTCATAACATTACGGTTGAACCACTGATGGCAGACGGACTATTCTGACGATGTCTTTCATACTTTTCTGGACCTTGACAGTGTAATTTACTAGGCAGTCAATGGGACAGTCACAAGCCTCCCGGTTTTCATCCAAAATATCTTAAATTGTGTTCCGAAGACGAACGAAGCTTTTACGGGTTTGGAACAACATGGGGGTAAGTGATTAATGACGAATTTCTTCAGTTAAAGATTACTCCACCCCAAAATGAAAATGTTAAGTTGCTTACTCAGACTGTGAGGTGATTTCTAAGATGTAGATGTACTGGTCCGACACAACCATAAGAGAATGGAACTCCACTGCATCCCCAAACTTCACAATGGACATCTGAAATCAAGATAAACCAAGAAAATGATAATATAACTAATTCCAGCTTCTCAAACACGCAGAATGAAGCAGTTAGAAATGTGGAATTACTTCAAACACTTTACTTATAATTGGAATTTAAACTTAAAGGGAAACTGCTTCTAAACTGTGAGAGAGTAAAAGGCTGGTGTGGAGGGAGTTTAAATGTGTCTCTATGTGTTTGGTTTTATTGAGGGCATTGTATACGTTATCTTGCCTTTAAAAAGCAGCGAAACTCCTCTTCTCCCCCAAACACTTCCACATTCAGGAACAGCTGAAGCCGATGGTCCACTGTCTCTGACAGCAGGTCAAACTGAGCTGAAATGAAAATGTTTATGTTTACATCCCTCAATGGAATAAAAAAGTACAAGGTACTATGCCAAACATTAGGATTCATTCTCTGGTAAGAATTTAATGTGTGGCATCTACAAATACAAGAGGAAAAAGAAAACTATTACTTCTATAAATGTTGGTCATGTTTACAAAGCACTCAGTTTGGTCAATGAGTTTCAAAGCTACACTATTTAACTGGCAATCCTAAAATAGACCTGGGCCCAATAACTACAGATTTTCTTGCCATTTCCAATCACAGTCTGAATTCATCCTTTTCAGGGTAGTTTTTTCTTCTTTAAACAAATTCTCATTACTGTTACCCTTTCTAACCACTCCACTTATCTTCATCCCAAGAGTGGACCACTTACCATTGTTGGAGCCTTCGGTGTACTTTGGTGACTGTTGGTCCTGATGTTTTTGATAGCTGTTGTTGCAGGAATTTTCAGCCACCTTCTCCTTAATCTCCTCTGAGTTACCCTGCACCTGTCCATCAGTTGTGCTGAAGTTGATTAGTTGAGATGTTCTCTGATCAACCCATGTCTCATTATGGTTAGTCAAACAATTAGACAGGAAGTTATGGGCTGTGTGGAAGTAAGCTGTGGCTCCCTCTGTGGAGACCTCTGAATGCTGAGGCGAATGGAGTGGGCTGCCACGGGATAGCAAAGACTGTCCTGGGACCAACGCCTAGGGGAATTAAGCAAATTAAGTGAGTGAAAAGAGAACATTAACATTATACTGTCATGGAAATATCAAGTCAAAAAGAGCATAAACCCAGACCTCATTGAGCTTGGGTTGAACCATGTTGTCCCTGTCATCAAAGGTAAAGTATCTGGCATCATTCTGTTCAAATGGTGTACTGGTGGAAGGAGCTGATTGGGTAGCCAACTGAACTACATGATCACTATTGCACTCGAAGCAGATGACAGTACAACCTGCAAAAAAAAAAAGAAAAAAATTATACATATATATATATATATATATAAAGTATATAAAAATAAATACTCCTATCCTGAGACATCCAAGACCATCTAATACAGTTCAAGTGTTCAAATGGCAGCAAAAAAGAAACTCAAAGAGATGCACCTATGCCATTCAAGGTAACACTCACTACAGGACAGAGTGTTCAACATACTCTTTGCTTCAGATTTATTTTAAGGACATTAATGCTCTTAAAATAAACACCTTCACTGATCTCTGCCCCATGCAGAACCAACTATGTGTTTGGCCTAGATGATCCGCAGGACACCAAGCAAACAGACTGAAAGCAGCTGAACAAATGTCCCAGAACCTCCGGTTTGCATGTCAAAGCACATTTTAAAACTATGCAGCACTGCAGAGGAGGAGGATGAACTGTGTATTAAACCAGTCATTAAAAAGAAAATGGCTTGCAGGATGTAACAGTGGAGAAAAAAAAAATTAAACTATTAAGCTGGTTATGCTGAAAATAGGTCATATGATAAAAGTATTGGCTGCCTGATGGAGTCCCAAGATAAAAAGCTCTCACACCCAGTGCTTGGCAACCATTCCGTATTCATTAAATTATTTGGTAGCACATTTAATCCAGGTTCTCTCATGTTCCAACAAGATGATCACCCACTCATGGTAAGCATGATTCATCTTTTCTGATTAACTTAATCTTGTGTTGAAAGCTGAGATGTAAAAAAAAAAAGATCAGGACCAAAAAAATGTCGCCATGCTAATAACCAGTATCAATCCACTTGCGTAATCTCAACTATTATGGGACATTAGAATATTGTGTTTAATTGCAATGAGGTGGTGGCAACCACGAACTAGTCATTCTAGAGAGAATGATTGTAATTGCTTTAATACTAATGAGAAGTGTGTTGAGAGTTGCATGTTTTTGTACCACTCCCTGGAATGTTCTGGCAGGAGTATATGTCCGCCTATGCTTCCAGGGCTTTGCTCATGACAGAAAAATAATTATCTTTATGACTGTTAGGGCCATATGCTTACGGTCATTCCTTAGCTCATCCAGGTGGCTCAGGCTGCTGTCGAATTCAGTTGCTGGCTGGCAAAATTCAGTCTGACACTTTAGGCACTGTAGCCAAACTGTCTCTGGTCTCTCCTCATCCAACTGCTGCTTGTTTTCCTCCACGACTCTTGAGAGAACCTCCACTAATACCTGAGGAGTCAGAATTCTCAACTCAATTAGGTAACATCATGTTGCTCTAAATTTTAAAGTTCTATCAAAGAGTCAACAAATTGTGTGGGAATGTGTCAAAAGAGATTTAAAAATATAGCTGTAAGCAGCAATTAAAGGGTCAAGCACAACAGAGGTAAAATGAAGAGCTAAGGAGCTGTCCTTAATTACTCAGTATAAAGACCAGGGGCCATATGTATAAAGCCGCTCAAAGTAAAAGTTTAGTCTTAAGTGTGTCAAAATTTTAAGAATGACGTAATTTTACTCTTATTCCTAGACTTAAGAATAAGAGTGATTCATAAAGGTTCCTAAGTGTTAAAAGAGGTCTCAGCTCCTAAATTATTTAAGAGAGCTGGAGAGGTCTCCTAACCTAGCTAGGAGTAATAAGATGGCAGCAAAGAGGAGACGACAAACACTTTCCAGCGAAAATATATTGGACTTATATGATAATATGGAGTTGATAAAATGATACAAACTTAATTGTAAAGATCAAAAAGTCTTTTTTGATAAAAACTTTAACTGATAAAGTAAAAAATGTAATAACCTCTTCCACTCAACAAGTCAATGCTCTAAAAGCAGAAATTAAAGTAGTAATTAATTTTTTTTTGGCTGGAAAATTGGAAAAATGCAGCAATACACCGGTGATGACACAGTAAGCAGGTTCTTACATATTGTGGCACTAACCCCACCAAACACAACAGTGTTTAGCCGTTGATGGAACTCATGTTCACATCACTGCTCTAACTGTAAATGAGGAGACATACCATTAAACAAAGCATTAGTAATAATTTGTGATAATTTTGCACAATGCAAAGCATTTAAAAATACATTTAAATTAAAATATTTCAGTCTTAATTAAATGATTTTATTGTAGTTACATTAAATGATTGGTGTTGTGCTGCTGTGACTTTACATGAGCAGGCTCACTATTGGCTATGCAATATGCTTACAAAATCTTGCACATTTTCTTTTTTAATTAAGGATGAAAATATGTCAAATTTCATAGGCCGGACATCACTTTTGGCCACTACTATATGGCAGTTTATTAACTTTCCAACTAGGGCTGAACGATTTTGAAAATAATCGAATTGTGATTTTTTTCTGCCAATATTGCGATTTAATATGCAATTATTTTTTAAAGCTCTTTATGTTCTGTATTATTCAACAAAGACAAGCTATAAATCATTGTATAGTATGACCAACACAATATTACATAGTCTTAAGAGCATTTCTGAGAAGTTTTATACATACGGGCCCTGGGCCCGTATTCACAAAGCATGTTATCTTACCACTAAGAGTTCTCCTAAATAGCAGTAAAAGTTTTTAGCTAAGAGTTTACTCTTAAAACCTATTCACAAAGCTGCTGAGACAAACTTTACTAAGGAATAAAGAGATGTCTTAAGCTAAGAATAAGGGTGGGGTTGACCTCGTTGCTATGGATGTCAGCATGCTTACTAACTATGCACACAGTGATTGGCTGATAGGGGTGGAGTCTCTGTCAGAGATTTATTCATAGAAATATTGTAGAGCACGATATTATGTTGCCATATTCAAATAAAGGTTTAAAAATAAAAATGTTGCCACATTCAATTTAAGATTTTAAAATGCAGGCTAAGTGTCACTAATTAAATAAGTATATGTTCAGCTAATTGTCAGCCTCTTACATGTCTGCCTCTCAAGAGACTGCATAATTTAAGTGACAAATTATGTATTATAACTATTTTCAACTTGACCGCAATGTTTTATTCTCCATTTAATACATTTTGCCTGTACATAAATTAAACTTTATGTTATGTCATCGCAGATTCAAATATATAAATCTAAATATTTATTGCATTTATGAAGAAAAGGCTGTCACCTGTTGCCTCAATGTTGTACAGTGTCTTTGGGAGGACTGTTGAGGCAGATTGCCAGCAACAACCATTTTAGGATTGTTTGTGATTTGGCTTTAGTGACTTAGGAGTCCTCTTGTCTACTCCTAACTTTTCACAGATTTAGGAGCTAGTTTTAATGATAAAATGCTTTGTGAAATACTCTTCGAGCAAAAATTTAGGAGTCCTAATTTTAGGACTGACACGCCCATTATTTTTACTACTTTTAGCCTTAAGATGTTTTGTGAATATGGCTCCAGGGTTCTCCAACACTGCTCCTGGAGAGCTACCTTCCTGCAGACTTAAGTTCCATTGCTGCTTCAACACATGTCTGTAATTAAGTAGCCCTGAACACATTGATTAGCTGGTTCACGTGTGTTTGATTAGAGTTGAAGCTGAACTCTGCAGTATGGTAGTCTCCAGGAGCAGGGTTGGAGACCTGTGTTAAAGACATTTGTTGATTCAGCATTTTACTACAAAACTCAAAATGGCTGATGTCCAAAAAGGCCGATGTAATGTGCCGAAATTACTCATGTTCCCTCAGGTTATGCTTGTAATAACGCAAACCAGGTTTGGTCAGAATCCGCTAAAGCAGGGGCCTACAAACTCGGTCCTGGAGGGCTGGTGTCCTGCAGAGTTTAGCTCCAACTTGCCTCAACACACCTGCCTGGAAGTTTCTATTATTCCTAGTACGACCTTAATTAGCTGGTTCAGGTGTGTTTAATTAGCATTGGAGCTAAACTCTGCAGGACACCGGCCCTCCAGGATGGAGTTTGGAGACCCCTGTGCTAAAGCGTTGCAAAGATATAGCCTCATGTCCATTTTTGCACATACTTCGTCAAATTCGTTAATGCATAAGGAATAGACAGAAGTCTTAAGCTAAGAGTAAGGGCGGGGTTGACCTTGTTGCTATGGATGATGCCAGCATACTTACTATGCACACAGTGATTGGCTGATAGTCTCTGTCAGAGATTTATTCATAGAAATATTGTAGAGCGCAATATTATGTTGCCATTTTCAAATAAAAGTTTTAAAATAAAAATGTTAATTGCCACATTCAAATAAAGATTTTAAAATGCAGGCTAAGTGTCACTAATTAAACAAGTAGGCTATATATTCAGCTTATTGTCAGCCTCTTATATATATGCTTCTCGTAAACAATTAGTCAATATGCATTAGGGATGCCCTCGACTAAAGATTTTTCTGGTCGACTAGTAGTCGTTCATTTGAATCATTAGTCGACTATTAGTCGCACTTTTATTAATAAACCATATAAATCATAATAATGAGCCTTTAATTGCCTACATAGCCTAATAAGCGCTCAAGCGCACACAAAAAAGGCTTGCCACAGCGCACCTGCAAATGTAATAATTATGAATGTGTTAGGGAAAAACAGCAAGTACACTGCATTAAGGTTTTAATCATTTATTGTTACACTAGTGCTTTCTGTTTTCGGTTTAAGAGATTAAGTCGGCGACATTGACTCGTCATCTCCGCAGTATGCACCTGTATGCATGTTTCATACGGATTATATAATCTGAGAATATTTGTTTTCTATTTGAATTGGTTCATTTAAAAGTTTCACTCTCTATAGATATAGTTTTCATGTCTGTAATAGGCCTAAGGCAAAAATACACAGAGTTTCAAAGTGACGCGCTCAAGTTCAGAGTCCGAGACGGCAGAAAGCACATCCTGTTTGCTTTCATTATTTTACAAAAGCGCAATGTTTTGTTGTTATTCTGAGTGCACACGAATAAACGTAGAGTCTTCACAGATACAAAAGATGCATTACTCTTATCTGTATGACCAAAAATGACGAAGTATTTTAAGAGCAAATGATCACACTGGCACCTCCATCTGTCATGCAGTAGCCCAAGCGCGCCACTGTTCAGCTTCCACACTCCGCACAAACACGTGAACTGCGCACTTCTTTCTAGGTTAACATTAGATTGAAATATTTGAGGTCGATGAATGTTAGGTGAGTCACGGACTGCATGATTTCGCCACTTCATGTGGAATTTTTTTTTCTGCGACTAAGCGACTAATAAAATGTTGGTAATATGCATATAAACAGCCTTTTAATTAGCAGAGTAGAATAATCATGGCTCATAGTAAGACATGCAAACATAAAATAAAACCAAACTGGACGCGAGAACAGCTATATATTAAGGATATAATCAAAAATTTTGAGTTGGGATAACCTCCAAACCAAAGCCGATACCTTTTTAAAAGCTCATTATCGTCAAATGTTTCTAAAATCTTTATATTCCGAGGTAGATTGCTAGCCATTTTAGGATAGTTCAGATTTAGTCTTAGTGACTTAGGAGTCCTCTTCACTACTCCTAATGTTTCACAGATTTAGGATCTAGTTTTAGCGCTAAAACGCTTTGTGAAATACTCTTAGAACAAACATTTTGGAGTCCTAAATTTAGGACTGACACGCCCATTATTTTTAAGATTCTCTTCTAAATCAGCGAGTTATGAGCTACTTTTAGCCTTAAGATGTTTTGTGAATACGGGCCCTGAGCCAGTTTTGGTGAAAATTTGACAAACTGTCTAGAACAAGTTCGAAAAAGTTGTTTTTTTTTTTTTCCAGAGGAAAAAAAAAATGTTGCTTTTAGACCTTATGGTTCAAAAGTTTTTAGCAGAAACATGAGTGCAAATTTGGCCTGATGGTAGCGGTACAGAGTTTGAGTTAGAGACTCGAAATTTGATGTGGTTAATGATGAGACTGTCCTCCATCTGTGTGCCATATTTCGTAGCTTTCCCACAAGCAGTTCTGTAAGATTCATAAGATACATAACAATATGCTACAGTGTTTGTAAAATACAGCATTTTACTACAGAACAAAACTCGAAATAGTCTACGCTTAAAATGGCTGATAGAGGTTGACCGATTTTACCGATACTGATAGCTAGGTAGAACCACACTGGCCGATACCGATTAATCAACCGATGTTGATAAAATGGATACTGAACGAAAACTAACATAGTGCTAAAAAGTACTGAACCATACTTTGTAATTTAAATGAATAAAAAAATATTAATATTAATTATATATTGATCATTAAAGTTAGTTCATAGTACATTAGTTAATGTTAACAAGCAACTTTAAAATTTAAAAATGTATTAGTAAATGTTGAAATAAACACACTCCAACAAGGAACACTTCTACAGCTTTTATCAATCTTAGTTATTTCATTTAATTTCAACAGTCATGCTTAATGACCATATTTAAATATCTACACAAAGGCCATAGCATTAAAATTACATACATATGGATACTGTATGTATACTCTCACACTTTAATTGACCCATCGGTAAGCCCCTCCCCTCAAACGCAGATGAGCCAATGGCAGTCGAGTATCAGTTGCACGGGGAGCGGAACTCAGATATCTGTAGGTTTCAGTGCCATAAAAAAAACATTGGATGATCCTAAGCTCGCATCGATTTGATGGTGGTTATGCTACAAAAATGGAAAAACGATGTGCCTTGAGTACTTGTAACACTGATTCCAGGTATCCTGAGAGGATAGGCACTATTTTATTTTATTACATTTCCTAAACCCAAACAAAATGGAGCAAAATGTCCGTAAGCATTCAATCCCAATCCCAATGAAGACAAAAAAAACTTTCATTTTCTGGTTGTCACTCTCATTAAGTTACAATTTTCATCTGCTCAAGCAGAACGTTAATGTCATCTTGCGTTTCAGCAAGGTATCTCTGGCTAAAACTAACATTAAAGTTAGTGCGTACATGCACTAACATGGTGGCCCTCTGTGTCCAAAGTTTTTTCAAAAACATCGAGGGATTTCAAGGTTTTCACACTAACAGCTGTCATTGTAAGAGAGTGAGCAGCTCCGTTTGTTTGTCCGAGGGAGCACCAGTAACTAAGGGGGCTTGCTGATAGGTCAATTGCTTCTGTTTTAGAACACTTGATTATCTAATCAAAATAACAAAATATGTTAGTCACACTAGCAAAAGCGCAGCACCAGGTCACATCTAGGACAACACACAGGTATCACACACACCATGTGGAATGGATTTTTGCCGATAGCCGATAGTTCTGGCAATCAACTATCGGTGCAGATTAATCAATCGATCAATCGGTCGATCTCTAATGGCTGACATAGGAAAATTGGGTAGCATTTGATTCGGTATGCCGCTCCGAATCTAACGTGATCAATCTTATGATTTTTTGTCAAACTGTTCAGAAATTATAAACAAAAAAAGTTATTTTTTTATATATCTTTTGACCAGTAGGTGACGCTGTGTTGAAACTACTCATGTGCCCTCAGGTCATGCTTGGTATAACACATACCAAGTTTGGTCAGAATAGGTAAAGCATTGCGAAGATAAAGCCTCATGTCCATTTTTGCAAGAATTTCGTCAAATTTGTTACATTAGTTACAAGATTGGTTTGGTCTATCAGAAATCTTTTTATAACTTTTTGTCAGCATTGTCTGAATGTAATCTGAGCCAATTTTGGTGAAAATTTAACAAACCGTCTAGGACGAGTTTGGAAAAGTAGATTTTTCTCAAAATTCTGAAAATCCTGACTCGAAGAAATTTTAATTTTGGTATGTATTCGACTCGACCTGAGCCAAGGAATCAGAGGAATAAAGAATTTTTACAGTTCAAAAATTATTAGCAGAAATATGAGTACAAGTTTGGCCTATGGTGGCACTACATAGTTTGAGATAGAGACTCGAAATTTGCTATGGTTAATATTGAGACTGTCCTCTGTGTGCCAAATTACATAACTTTCCTGCAAGCGGTTCTATGGGCTGCCATAGACTTACAGAGTGTCCCACCAGTTGTTATGCGATTGTGGAACACAATGCAAAATCAACAAAATGCATAATTGGCCATTTTAATGCATAATTAGTCATTTTGCCACAAAATAGAAACTACAGTTTTTCCCTTATGTCATTAGACTACAAATGTTGCACTTGATGGCAAATCCTTCTGTCATCTATGGCATTCTTGATTTCAGGAACATTTTTACTATTAAAAACACAAATTCTTGATATATCAAAAATGCCATAAACAGCAGAAATTAAATTCTTGATATCAAAAATTTTATTCCAAATAGCAGAAACTGTTATTGATATCTGCAACTGAATTTTCAGATGTATTCAATTATGTCATACTTTTGCAAGCAGATTTGACTTTGTAGGATATTAATTTTTAATATCAACAATTCAGTTTTCACTAGATAAAATGCTCATTTTTGATATCAGAAATTGAATTTATACAAAAGATTGGTGGATCGGTACATCCATACTTGTAATATCATTTGTAATTTTAGGATTATATCTCAAGCACTGGTTGATTATGCTTGATTCTCTAATGATGAATGATCTTTCTGACCTGTAATGCTTCCTGTGGCATGTCATCCAACATTATGTAAGAACGTTTACGTCTTTCACGACTAATGTACCGGAAGTGGAGCTCCAGGGCTGGGTGAGTCATCTCCACGTTCTATAAGATGTAAAGAGAGAGTGTGAAACTAAGACAAAGATGCTCTATCATCTTATAGATCCTTATGAAGAGAAAATATGTCATCTGACCTCCACCGTGCAGGTGGCCTCAGTGGTCATGACATCTTGCAAACTGTCTAGTTCCACTCGTTTTTTAACACACCCCTGGTGCATGTCTACCTCCAGCAGGTGACCCTGCCGCACTCGTAGGAAAAGCGGTTCAGAGGGCCTTTTCTGATCTCTCTCCACATCCTCTAAGAGCAGCCCCACCAGCATTGGTCTGCACAGGTCCACTGTTAAAAAAAAGTACAATAATGAAAAAGAGTTCTGGACACAAACTGCACAGGTTATTGGACAATGATGAAATGGAGATGTATCAAGACTTTTAGGTGAGTACCAGAACCAATCTTTTTGTCATTATAAATACATAAACCAATATTTACAGAAACAAAGTAGATCCAAACATTTGGTCCACAACAGTTTTGTCCCACTGCTGGTGTTACTGTGTATGGTAATCGGAGTTGAAGAAGCTACTTTAAAAGTGTAGCTTGCAAATTTGAAGTAGCTAAACAACAGTCAAGCTACTGAAAATAAACAAAAGTAACCAACTACAAGTTACTTAAGAGGACAATATGCTTGAATACACTACTGGTCAAAAGTTTTGGATAAGATTTTTTTCTTTTAATAAAAACTTTTATTCAGCAAGGATGTATTAAACGTTACAAAAGATATCAAATAAATGCCGTTCTTTTAAACTTCTATTTTTCAAAGAATGCTGAAAAAATTAAGTTTCCACAAAACTATTAAGCAGCACAACCGTTTTCAACATTGATAATAAAAAGCAATGTTACTTAAGCACCACATCAGCATATTAGAATAATTGCTGAAGGATCAAGTGGCGCTCAAGACTGTAGTAATGGCTGCTGAAAATTTTGCTTTGCTAAAGGAATAAATTATTTTTAAAAATATATTAAAATAGAAAACAGTTATTTCAAACTGAATAGTTTACAATATTACTGTTTTATTGTATTTTGATCAAATAAATGCAGCCTTGGTGAGCCTAAAAGATAACAAGCCAAAATGTTCAAACAGTAGTGTTCATTAAAAATAAATAAATATATCCAATGATATAATGTAAAAGCTACACTACCATGAAAATAGCTGGAATACATTAGTGAAAACTGATAGTGGATGGTACTATCACAGTTTAAATATCAGTATGTAAAGTATAGTTATCAGTATCAATGTATCCCTAGAAAAAAACACAGACCTCCCCTATCGTCATCTTCTTCTTCTGCTGGTGGTTTTGGGTCAGAGTAGGCCTCAGTTGTAGACTGAGTGTTTCCTAGACTCATCTCAAGAGTAGATTCAGTGTTTGGGGGGCTGTGGCCTGTATACTGCAAGGTGGACTCTGTCTCAGGCTGCAGGTCTGTGCTCTCCATCTCTTCTTTGTCCTCTTCCTCATTCAGTTCAGAGGACAGCAGCGGAGGAGGGAGCAACTCCAGACTGGTTGGAGGTGTGTTAGTTTTAAGCAGGGGGGATGGAGGTGTATAGTGGCACTTGGTGTTCACTTTATTGGTTACACTGTCCACTACTGGGAAAGCTGGGTTGACTGGAGTATCATCAAGATGATGCTGGTAGCGTAGCCAGTCCTCCCCTAACTGCTCTCGAAAACTGTCCATTCTCTCAATGTCCTCCTTATGGGGTAGGACAATATCTGAAGAGAATCAAATATTTCACATGAGATGCGTAGTACATCTGCTTAATAAAAACACAAGCTTGTCAATTCATTTTACTTCGTGATCATTGAAAAGAGTGAACTTTAAAATGCTCTGTGAAGAGAAAAGGGATAGTTCACCCAAAAATGAATATTCGCAAAATCATTTATTCACCATCATGTAATTCCAAACCTGTAGGACTTTCTTCTACTGAACACAAAAGTAGAATTTTTGAAAAATGTTGGTAACCAAACTAGGGATGTCCTGAGCCGAGCCATTTTTTAACTGACCGGTATCGGCTCTCCTCAGTCCAATCCTTATTTTACGTCAGCTGTCATGCATGTCACGGTGTTGCGCAGTAAGTGGCGGTATGCGCCTTTAAGTGGGTTTGCCAACCGCCATTAAAAGGAAAAGAAGACGCATGAGGAAAAAGTGAGGTCTGTTGTAGCACGTAATACATGTTTAAGCTTCTGTGTTCAGTTTATGGTGTTCAGTTCATTTATCGTTTACTTTTATCTGCCATCTGAGACGTTGTTGTTAAAACGCGTTGCTATGGGTTGTCTTGATTCGGACTTGACTGACAGACTTTCATTCTGACAGTGCGAGCTTCATGCTTTCTAACCTTATCTTCACTTTATGTTGCAATTATTCTGCTTATTATACATATAAAATACAATAGGTTTCTATCAAGGTGTCCCATATTCATAATTGTGACCACAAAGTATATTTACAATGTCTACCATTGTACCATGTTTACAGTACATCTGTCAATTGTCTGTATACAGTGTGTGCATATATATATATATATAGAGAGAGAGAGAGAGAGAGAGAGTGAGTATCTTGTAATATATATACACATACATCTTACCAGTGGTGGAAAGAGTACTGAAAAAATATACTCAAGTAAAAGTACCATTACACACACACACACGCGCATGTCTCTTTGCTGAGTCTCTTTGCTCGGTCTCGGTGAATCAGCAGCATCCATAACTGAACGGAACAAAAAGTGTTGAACTTGAAAATTGTTTATGCGCGAGTGCACTTGTTAAATGAAGGCGGATTGTATAAAATGGATAAAAATGCAGTATATTAACGCCACTGGTCATCAATAAGGTGCAGATTTGGTCCTCAATTTGAGTTTCCAACACACTTTTTCACAGCGCTCAAACTCAACAAAAGTCAACAAGTTCAACAAGCAACAACGACTTATCCAAGTGACTGCTGCAGAACGCACGCGAGAGAGAGACGAGGCAGCGCAGATCGCACGTCTCATAAGTGAGTGGGAATTTACCGAACGTGACACTTGTGTGAGTTATCACTGTATGCAATACCCGCAACCTCACACAAAATTTCAGGCCATGTAGATAGGCAAGCATATATACAAATAATTTAGTAAGCAGAAATCCGAAATTTACCATAACATATTAAGTTAGAGGTTACATATATTACTATTACTCTCTGCACAACTCTGTTATCATTGGATTGACTTTAATAACTTTAATGTACTTGAAGTGTGCACCAAACATACATTCCTATAGGAATATACAAGTATCGGATTGGGACTCGGTATCAGCAAATACTCAATATTCAATGACTCGGATCGGGGGCACAAAAAACCTGATCAGGACATCCCTAAACCAAACAATTTTGGTTACCATTTACATTCATTCAAAACAAAACAAACACTGAGAATTTTGTGACAGAATTTTCATTTTTTGGATGAACTATCCCTTTTAAGGCTTGTTCATCACTTAAGTCATGTGTTCATCACCTTGTAAGGCAGACTGCACTCTGACCTCATGGTCTGTGTCACTAGGCTCTGAGATACTGGCTCTCCTCACCTTCACCTTGTTCTGCTAATGGCAAGAATTTGCACTTCATGTCATGCCTCAGATCTTACTAACATTTGTATGGTGGCTTCACATCACTCCATCAACAATCATGTTCATTTAGTTTAGCAGTGTACCACAAAAAATTTTTGGGCAGATATTAAACATGTACTTACTCTGTGTTTCCTCTTTCGAACTCGGGTCACTCCTGATATGCTTACAGTCACACTGTCAGTCATGTCCCCGCCTCCACTGGACACTTCCTGCCCTCCTTGGTCAGGTGCCATATAAACTTGTTGAGAAGTGTGGGAGGTCTGACCAACCAGCTGTCCGGGCTTAGGTAAGATCTGTGGAAAAAATAAATTTAAAAAAATGTCACACGTCACAAAAGCCACAAAACTTATTTGTGTAATTTTGTTATTTTCTACCAATAAATATTTACATTAAATTAAATCTCGAAAATATAGATATATTTATAAATATATATTAAATATATATTATAAATTATATTTCTCATTAAAACAATTTTTTCTTAGGATAAATGTTGAGTTTGGCCAATACGAAACTCACACTACTGTTAATTAACATCTTTCCACCATGTGTCCACATAAAGTTACCTCTTGGGGGGTCACAATTTTAACTCAAGTTATTTGTAATAAAAACTTATTGTAATTGTGCTAACAGATATGTGTCCAACATGGCTAAACATTTTTGGACATTAAAGTTTTTTTTTTAATTTTTTTTTTACATTGTTTACAATATTCGTTACAACATTTATGTTTTTTGTGCAGGTATGCAAGACATTTGAAAAAACAAAAAAATGATTTAGCCCATTATTGTGAATTTTTTTTTAAATTAAATTAATTATACTGTATGAACACTGGGTGTCACTATCACATGCAGTCAGTAAAGCATCATTGACCTAAGTGAATGTCATCTTTGGCCTGTATGAGTGTTAAGAAAGTGTTGGAGAAAAAGCAATGGGGAAGAGAGAAGAAAAAAAGCGAAAAAAAGCACAAAAAAAAAATAATAATAAAAAACCTTGAGTATGTTAAGAAACACAGTCGCACAGTCATTGCTAAGTCACGTGTCATGAGAGTGCTGATGCCATAGACACCAAACTGTTTTTTTGCAAGGTGTTGAGGATAATTTTTTTGCATTTCAGAAGAGCTTCTCGGTCTGAAACACAACAATCAGTAAGGACCTTTTTGAAGCTGTGTCTTTTGCCATTGAACACATGAATTTCATGTAAACGGCTTCATTTTAACAAAAAGGATCTTGAATTTTGCTAATGCCAACAATCCTGGAAAAAAATAAGCAATTTGTAACAAGTCTACCGTCCTTGATTGCAGAATTGTACCACTGTTTTCAAGACTTTGTTGCCATTGACGGACATGAAGCTGTTCTAAATCCTTTTCGATGTAAATGTGGGGAAAAGTACAGAAAATGTGCAGCTGGAACTCATTGAATGCAACATTAATATATTATATAGCAACTTTTTGCTATTTTGCTTTTGTTTTTTGACAGCAAAACTTAGTGCCTACTTCTTTCACACCTGTATGCATTCCTTGGTTTCTGAATAAGCTGTTTGAGTGTTACTATGAGTGTTACTATAATAAAATACAGAGTCCCTTAAAAATGCTTTCATATCAGTGGAAGATTAAAAAACTCCACTGAAATATATTCTATTTATTTATTATTATTATTTTAAAATCACATGATTCATTAAACCAACAGGCATAAATGTGTTTTACGTACCTCACTGTATAATGCACCTTCTGTTTATACTTTCCTTGCACCCTATGTTGTATGTAGTCATTTGCATTGAGCTGGTCACTGCCCTCCTACCTCATAACTTGCACTATATGTCATAAAGCTTAATGTATATACACATAATCTATATTTATTTATATACTCTGTTATTTGCACTTCTGGTTAGATGCTAACTGCATTTCATTGGCTCTGTACTTGTACTCTGCACAGTGACAATAAAGTTGAATCTAATCTAATCTAATCTAATCTAAACATTTGTGATTCGTTGTTAAACGTGATTCATTTAATCTTTTTTTCTTCTTAATTTTTACATCAGTTGTCGTGATTAAACATTCATTAAACACTAAATGTCATTGTGATTGCTGGGCCATGCCTGCCGCCATTTGAAGTTTCCATTTGGTCAGAGGAAGTAAAGCACTTTGTTGCCCACTATTCTGCTGTAATTTAAAAGCAGATTTGCCTCTCACAGTACAGCATGAATCACATGAAAAACAAGGAAGGTGGAATAAAAGGAGGATGGCACAGGAAGTAACATTTGATACCCACCAGCTGATCAGACTGGGACAGAGGGGTGCCATCCAGCTGGAGCTGAAACGCAAGCAGACATTAAGACGTCAGCTTACAACTCTAAAACATCTGCAGAACAGCAAGAAAGAGCTACAAGCAAACATCTCACTATTACTTTTACAAATGACATCAGAAAAAAGGGGGAACTGGCACCTCCCTGTGGTAGCTATGATAAATATGAATACAATCGATGTATATTTAGATATACTGTAGTTGCTCATTTAAAAATTCATTGTAGCAATTCAGACTGCTTCATATTTTTCAATGCCACATCATATAACCTGATCATACTGAACTGTACTGTACAGCTTTAACACGAGGACCAATTAAAATAATGACTTTGAGGATGTGCACCGTTTATTGCTGTTCGCAAACAGAGAAAGACTCACCCCTTGGAAAACAGCTTGTGGAGAGAGGTGGTGGATAGTCGATACCCTGTGTGTCTTCTGAAAATACAAAGGGTTTCCTTCCAAAGTTAACTGAAAAGAGATCAGAAAACAGTCAAGGTGGTATATAGGAAAAGTCAAAAGAAAATCACATCTTCACATCTTGACAAAATCACATTCTTCAGAGGAAAATATTCATATTGCGATTGCAAGATCCAGTTGGCTGAGCTAGAAAACATGGCATTCAAATGTGTCATAATGATCCTCATCAAGCCCAAATTTGTAACTGTGGCATCATAAAAATGCTGAGACTCAAATCTGGGATTGAGGATAATCACTTTTCGATAACTGAAAAAAGCAGTTTAAGCTCAGCATTACTTCTTACTGTATTAAGATTATGAAGGAGGGACAGAGGTGCCAACTGAGAATGCTCCATAAGAAGGTTATAAGCCAGGTCAAGAGACTGAAGTGATGACAACTGCTCCACCCCTGCATTTAGGATAATACATTTAGATTAGATTAACCTTTATTTTTAGTAAACTAACTGTTTATTCAAATTAATGACAGTTCATGAGCTCTGAATACACTCCTCTAAGACCCTCCAGACAATGAGGAGGAATACGCTTGAGCTAAATAGAAAGATAAATCAAACAAAAAGCAACATTTAGGATAGCATGGCAGAATAAAGCAACAAACATAATTGAATGAATTTGGTTAGTTTGTTCTGAAATACCTCTAAGTGTTTGAGGGACTTGAAAGGGAAGATTTTCACAACATACTGTACTTTCACACCAGGAGGACTAACAAGCTGTTTTAAAGACATATATGATCAGATCATTGCAACAACAGCTCAGTGTATTGGATTGGCAAATTATGATGCATTTCAACACAAATAAAAAAGACATACTGTATAAGGATATATTAATCAGGACACTTAGCTGAAGTCAGAAAATCATCTTAATCGAAGATGATATACAAAAATGTAGTACTACTAATTAATATGGAATAAATTTTTTCTCAGACTATCACAATCAAGCTGTACTCCTTAATAAGTTTGTAATGTCATAGACACATCAAAGCATCGTCAGAACCTTCAGTACCTTGAGGGATACTGTCTTCTGCAGCATGTCAAAGAGGAACTGGACTTCCAGCAGGGAGGCAGTGTCCGCTGGGTGGGACGGCAGGGCCAGAAAACCATGCTGATATGTTCTTGAGAGAAGGTGCCGCTCAAAGAGTTGTGTCAGGTGCTGTAAACATCCCACTTGCAGAGTGAGAGTACTGGAACCATCCAGTACGGAGTCACCTATATAGAGAGCAATGAGAACATAAGGCAATGCTAGAGCATGCTAAGCATTCTCAAACATATGCAAAAGTGCTCTCAGATTTTATTGACTTTATCTCTGTCAACGTGCATACACAATCTTTGTGCATTATCTTGCATAGCAGTGTCCACATTTGCAGTTATAAATACGGAGTACATTGCTTTATCCCCATGTCTTCAACATAATGAGAATAGCATTCAATTCTCAACATAGAGCGGAGTTGCACTCAATCCTACTCAATCCAAATCTTGCCAAACTCTAGATGAGTGGCTGTGAACAACTTCTTTGTTACATTATTTGCTGTGTGGATTTTTTTTCCCCCCAGGAACTGGGCCTAGTGAAACTGCTGAAATAAACAATGATAAAATTTAAATACTGATTCTATACCATTATTTCGCAGTAATGTGGCAAGTCTGTGTACAACCGTTGACTGACCGGCCTGAGTGGATGACATCCTAAAAAGGGTGAAACATATTATATTAACAGAAATATTCCAAATTATTGCAGGCAAAAAGGGAATTATTCTAATCTAAATATACATAAATAACATATTTATAATTGCTATGAAGACAGAACATTAATTTGGGTAATAAAATAGTCTTGCAAAAATAGATGTAGGAGAAAAGGAGGGTGGGATACCACAACCAAACATTCCTCACACTGTTCCTCAACTGTAAATACATGCAAGCCGAGGGTCATCTCTTCCTATTTCTGTTATGTTTACAGCTAACTGTGAGAATGCAATATTTATTATTTTCACTATTATAAAATACATAATCACAAACATTCAGGTATCTAGACACCCTCCACATATTTCAATTCTCAATCACAAATTACCTACACTGGCATTTCATTTTCATCTTGTTAACAGAAAACAAAACAAAACTGGCAACTCTTCCTGACGCTCCAATAAGGGTTGGTCAATATCTGTTCTCATGAAATGCGCTAAAACATACCTTATGATCCAAGAAATACGTGACCCTTAGCCTCAAATAACGTTATACCCGGTTTTGAACCGGCATTGGGATTCATGGCATTAATTCAGTTCAATTCCCTTTCACATTTGTTAACATCCTGATAGCAGTCATATGATCTTGTTTCTTAAAGGTACGGCGGCCCGAAGAAGCCAAACAAGTGAATATTTAACTAAGCGCGCCCTCCTACGTCTTTCACATGCACTATAAAACAAACAGAAAGAACATGTATTTTGAAGGTGAGCCGTTTAATGGCATTTATAGAAAATTAATGGGAAATGTTAAATAAACTATCCCTTAAGACTTAAACTGTGATTATTTGTTTATTAATGAAAAATCCTTTTTCTGTGTTAGTTTGCCCTCACTGGTGGATATCACAGTCAAAACTCTTATCTCATTGACAGCTATCTTGACCAGGGATGGATTACTGACCGGGCCAATGGGGCCAGTGCCCAGGGGCCCTTGATTACCAGGAGCCCGGGGGGGCCCTGGGCTTTAAGGTTGCGCGATCCAGTTTGGTACGAAAAACCCATCAACAATGAAAACAAATATTTATTTATGCTTGAATATATGTGTCCCTTAGCCTATACAATGCCTCTTGAACAAGGCTCTTGGTCTATGAGGGCTCTCTGGCACTCCTGTTACTATTGGGCCCTGTAAATATGAAGGCCTCCAAATCTTTTATAGAACCAGGGCTGTAGCTGGGGTATCCGGGGCCCAATGAATGGGCCCCCTTGAAAACGCATTCCAGAAGGAGGGACTCTTCAAGCCTGGGGCCCCTAGAAATGTCTCCACCTTTTGCCCCGCTAGCCGGTAAAGATTAAAAATTTTGGCTAAACTCACTAGGGGGCCACAGAACGTGTTTTTCCATTCCAATGCGCTACTTTTACATTGTTCCCTTTCATGGGAACTTCGAAGACAGTCCTCTAGGGGTCGCTATGGGGAACGCCTCGTCGTGACCC